TAGACCTGGAAGTGGTCCCATGCAAAATGTAATGAAGCTGGGTTGCTCTGACCTCTGAGCTCTAACATGTGTTTGTTTTGGCTCTCTCGCAAAAACCTGCAGTATACAAATTGGCACTTGTAAAATTGTTCGGATAAATCAAAACTGGTGCAGGAAAAAAGTTTCAAACTGTTTCTTTTGGGATCCTTCGCCATGCTATTTTTGATGTGTGTTTTCAGAGGAGTGTTTTTGTGGCAGCAGGCAGTTTGTTGCTTGAAGAAAGCTGAAATAGTCTAGGAAGTCAGGCTCGCTGAATTTAGATGCTAAGCCATGCCAAAACTAATATAGCCTGTAACTAAGTGAGAGTGACTTTGCACAGTAAATGTCAGTCACCCGCAGCTTTGTCTTACATTTTCATATGAGCCTTTCAAGAAGGAAAACACAAACACAGACCCTAGAAAACGTGGTCGCTCCTTATATCCAGTGGAGTTACAGCTCCAGTCTGCTGCCCAGGGGACGCTGCTCCTCATCCTCTGCGCATGGCGAAGGCTCGGCCGGGGCTGCACAGATGGGGCTGGACTTGCCAGAGCATGAAACGCCTCCGGTCGTGGAGGAGCTGGGCTGGCCTGGAGTGCCCTCTCTTGGCTGCTGCAGAAACCTCACAGCTTGGTAAGGATGGGGAAAATTATATTTGCATTTACCAGCGCGGTGGGCAGAGGTAAGCCGTGCTGGTGGTGCTTCCAGGTTTGCTTCCGAAGGGCCTCCGCTGGCTAACTGAGTGTGGATCTTTGGTGCCCCTGGCAAGTTTGAATCCCTCACTTGAAGCCACACTAAAGATACGCGCTCCAGCAGCGTTGCACGTAGGACCCTGTTAAACTTGGTACTCCTGGGAATCTTAACATTTTAGCAGAGCTCAGGTTTTTAAGAGACTTCACGCTGCTCCGGGAATCCCAGAGGCAGCAACTGCAGTGGCCCCTGCTTGACTCTGTGCTGCTAAATGAATCCAGAACAAATGAGGCTCTGAAAATAAGAAGAAAAAATTTGACACCTGGACTCCAGGAAACATTTGTGGATTTTGATGAGGAGCAGTAGGGGGGAAGAGAAAACCAATGGTTTAGCATAGTTAAATATATGGTGTGCTAAGCATGAATAAATTGTGACTATTTTAAACAAGTTCATATATGCTATGGCTGGCTCGAGCACAAAGGAAAGACAATGGCTACAACACACTAGTTCCCCAGAGGGTTACCTGGAGGCCAGCGCCTTGGGCTGCTGCTGGTGCATGGCAGTGGGCAGCTTTCATCCTTTATACAAGTGGCAAACTTTTTTACATGCAATTCTCTTTTTTTTCTGTTACAAGAACTCATGTAAGTGCTTGTGAGTTAAGGGGTTTTGTCTCCTGATAGCCTGACTTTGCAGTCCAATTCCTTTCCTCGTTGTTCATAAATGATTCATTTCTGTAAAGCAATCCCTTCAGTAAACAGAAGTTAAACGTTCCTCTGTAAGTGTACCAAGCTCAGTTCGCACCAGTCTTAAGATGACCAAGTTGCATGGGGCCGTCTTGTGCAATTCCCTCTGCTGTAAGGCAAAGTCATGTAATAATTTCTTGCGTTATCAAAGTTGGGTCACTTCTGTCTTCCAGCTCAGTATCATGACAGCAACATCTTAGCTTTGGGGTGGGAGTTTCTTCCCAGCCTGCAAACTCCATCCAAGTAAATGAGCCTTTCACTTGAAAGCAGAGACTGAAATGGGATCCTGAGTGCTAGAGCCTAACAGTCACCATCATCTGGCTTAATGTGAGCCAAGTAAAACGAATCAAGAACCGTGGGGTAGGTGTGCAGTAGCAGCTGGTGCTCCTTGGTAGCTTCAAATGGCTCGAGCTGCTCTGTTAGCATGGAGGTGGCTCTGAAATACATCAGAGCACTGTGGGATTGAAGCTGCCTTTTGAAAAGTAAGAATCTGTTTTTCAGCCTGCTGCTAGCACTCTTTCCTTTTTAAAAACAAGACAACAACCCACGCAGTCCAGTTGTACTTGCTGTTTACAAGGTGTGAACGGGAATTCAGTGTTTGCTGTTGTCTTTCAGCAGACGCTGTTCTTTAGCGTGTGTTCGGGTTTGAGTCTATATCATAAGGCAGGGTTTTGGAAAAGCATCGTTCCTTTCGTATTGATAAGAAAAGCACGGTGCGATCCACAGTTAAATTTTAAGGAACACATATTAGCAATGACACCTGGAAACTCAGTAGGTCTCTGTCTTCAGGTGTGGCTTTCGTTGTGTTCCTCATGGCAATCGCGCTGCGAGTCCTACTCACTCGGGGTTTTACAGCAACTGCTCATGTTGCTGCCATAGCCCCGTCGCTGTGTAGTTTATCCTGTTCTTCTCTTCCTGTACAATAGCTCCCTCTGCTTGAAAGCAGCAGTGTGATTATAACTCCCGAGCAACGGTTTTAATACAGGCCCCTTTTTTTCAAAAGGATTCTGCCACTGCTTTTCACAAAGCAATTCCAATACAGGGCTTATGTGTGCATGTGTTGCGAAGCAGTGAGGATAATCGAAAACTCGAAAACTTTACTGCATATGCACTGTGTACGTTTGCAGGAACTCTTATCTTTGTTTTTAGCCCAAGGATTAAACCTGGTTGGAACACTTTTTCAACTAAATTTTCTCTTACCAAAGCACGATGATTTATTGGGGCCAAAATGTTTCAATTTCAGCGAAAACTCAAGTTGAAATGGGACTATTTCTCATTAGAAATGTGAGAGTTTGGCCACTGACCTTGAATACCTGTGTAGAAGAAGCTGATGGTGAGATTCCTATGCCTTACTTACGTGGTTCTGATATGGAACCTAAAAAAGAACAGCTCTGGATCAGCCAGAACAAGAATTTGAACCTGGTTCTCCCATATTCTCAGCCATTCACTTGCAGACTTTTTGTCAGCTATCTGCATGGGTAAGGATGAGTGCTGGTTTTGGTTTGTTCATTTTTTATCAATACAGCTAAGCCAGCAAAAGTCATATTATAAAAGCTGCCGTGTCAGCAAAGGTGGAGTTCTGCTGAGAGGGCGTTCAGCCATTTAGGGAACCAGCATTAAACCTTGCTTGTCATGGCAAGATGAGCCCACGAGAGGAAAACTTGCTGGTTTGGTTGTGTTAGCGAAGCCTTGCCAATGCGAGCAGGGCCTTCCTCGCTTGAAAGTGGCTCCATCCTGGGTCTGCAAAGGAATCCGAAAGGCTATTTCTGTTTTGCATCAGACCAAAACCAAGCGTTATGAACATCTCAGAAGTCTGTCAAGCAGCATGTTTGTTCTGTGGTCAGGTGGCAGCAGGAGGGTTGAGCACATCGTTTTGTCGGAAAGCGCGGGCGACGCTGACTCTCGACATAAAGAGCAGCAGTGACTTTACATTTTCAAAATTCAACACTCTTAAAGCAAAACCCCTTTTTTCTTTTTTTTATTCCGAGTGTAAACAGTCGGACAGGCTGAGCGTATTGGCCCGGGTTCAGCAGGCAGAG